TTGTTAACAACCATTTGATCAATAAATATGAGAGATGCCCTCTCAAAAAAATAAATAAAAATAAATAAAAATAAATAAATCCTATCTCCCTCAACATTCTGAAAGCTCCGTGGACTTTCACACACAACAGAGTGTAACCAGAGTTTTGTTGACTGCTCTGTGCTGTGGAGCAATGAGGGTTCCTACTGTTTGGGCAAGTGGGGAGGCAGAATTGCCCTCTCAGAGCTCCCTCTTCGCATGGTGGGGATGACCTAGTCAAGCAGTGGTTCTCAACTCTGCCTGCAACCAGAATGACCCGATGAGCTTTCGAACAGTGACACCTCGTCAGCACCACCCTTCCACCAGATTTTTATTTAATGGATCAGGGGTTCAACCTGGGCATCAGGATTTTTGTAGAGATCCTCCGATGTTTGTGCAGCCAAGATTGAAGGCAACTACTGAACAATTTAGAATTCCACCAAATACTTATTTAGTATTGGAGATAATAGCTGTGGCTTTTTGATCTTCAATTATGCTTTTTTACACTGTGGTTTGTAATAACAAAAGAATAACACTCATGAGAGAATCACAGTTGCTCTGGAATGCAGGAAGCTGAAAAATATTCATGTGATCCCTTCCCCTCTCCTACACAGGCAGGGGCAGCCTCAGAAGATCCACTCATTACTTTACAATCTCCTCTTTTCACTTTCTGGAAAGAGTAGTATCATTCCTTACAACGTGTCATCCCATCATACAGCACACTTTGTTCCCATTGTTTCATTACATTCAAAATTTAGAATGTTCCAGTGATGTTATCTCTCTTTTCCGTATGACAAGGGACTCCCCTCCTCAGTTCTCCAGGCATCATAGGTTCTGCTGACCTGAGCAGACAAGAGTTTCCAAGTGGATTGACTCCCCCTAGAATAGCACCAATCAAACTTAAATTTGAATATGATCACCTGGGGCTCTTGTTAAAATTCCTGCTGGTTCTCTGGCTCTGAGTGAGGCTTGAGATTCTGCATGTTTTCTGGGCTCCCAGGTGATGCTTGGGGTTCTGGCTCGTGGGCCACACTTTGACTAGCAAGGTCCCACAGTGTCTCTACCTTTCAATTTTATGTTATTCACAGGTAATACAGACTAAATAATTGAGAAGGCTATGATATTTATATAAAGTTTGGTTTATGTGGTACTGAGCTTTCTGAAATGACCTTATTTTCTGCATTTCAGTTCCCTCTGTTAAGTGGAAAACAAAGAAACTATTTGACTCCTGCAATCCTTTCCAACACTAAAATTCTTTCATTCCCAAGTTTCAAAGCAATATAATAATGGTAAGATCACTACCTTATATTTACCATTGTGACACTTGAACTTTATGAACTGGATCTAAAAGTGTGATGTAAGTAGCACATGGGCTTCTTGAAATTTCAAGGTCATAGTTTTCTTGAATGGACATTGGACTTGCTGTATTCATTTAATTCTTGAAGTATATTCTCAAGATTAAGAGCATTTGATTACCCTCAGCTACATGGCCTTCTAAAATTTTTAGCTCATAAGGGCCTCCTTGACATTCCTGTAGCTGAATGGCTGCTATTATGCTACATTAATTTTGAAAAATAGAACCTAATTTGTTTCAAGTATAAACATCTAGGGCATTAATTATTAGGTGATGGTAACTCTGAAAGGGCTGTCCTCAGAGATCTTGGTGACATTCACAATCTGCTGATGTGGATATGTTGTACAAAATATAATCCTCTAGGGCCATGAGAGACAGTAGGTGTATTTTTGACTTTGCCAAGCCACATCTGAATCTTTCTCCTTCTCCCCTGCAGACATTCAGCTCCTTCAGGTTCATGACACTTCGTAACACCCTCCCCCTAAACTCACTGCTGTCATCTATTGACTTCTAGCTTATTCTTTACCACTTGCAACTTTGTCCCTCAGTATACACAGAACCTTCCTTTCTTCCCCACTAGTTGTCTTCCTTTTTCAGTATGTCATCATTGAAGTGCATGAAACATTCAATCTCATGGCCTCTTGTTTCCTTCACTTATTCATCCAAGGTAGTGAATCTTTGCCTCCACTCCACCTTAGTCATGCACTTTCTGATCTCTCTAGACATTATCTCCTAGCCTTCCAATAATGTTAGTCAAATATTCACACTGATAATTCCAGTTAGCAGAAGAAATCTGGTTCACTGTCCCACTGTTTTCTCCATTGACCTTCTCCTGGTTTCTCTTTACCCATCCTAGATTCCATAGTATATATTTATTGTCACTTGCTTAAAACGATGGACTCTTATTATGGACTAAATGTTTGTGTGTCCCCTTTCCTGCTCTAATTCATATGTCAAAATCCTAACTCCCAATGGGAGGGTATTAAGAGGTGTGGCCTTTGGGAGGTGATCTGTACTTTTGTCAAACAGACATCAGAGAGCTCTCTTCTCTCTTCCACTATGTGAGGACAAATTGAGAGGATGGTTGTCTGTGAACCAGGATGTGGGCCCCAGCAGTCACAGAGTCTGCCAGTGCCTTGATCTTGGACTTCCCAGCCTCCAGAACTGAGAGTAATAAATGTTTGATATGGTATTCTGTTACAGAAGCCTGATTGGACAAGGGCAGCTCTCTTGCTCGCCATTGCATCCACTTGGTAAAACTCTAGTCCTAGAAGAACCTGGCTATCCATGTTCACTGTAACTGTAGCCAAGTTGGTGAAGGTTGCTGAAGAAAAATCGGACAACTGAGCTCATTAATTTCACGGTAACAGACTTCACCTATCAAAGGAATAGTCTGTCTATTTCTGTCCTGAGACCATCCTCTTCTTCTCCCAAGGAGTTGTGGTTATGATCTCCTCAGAGATAGTTCAAACGGGAACTCTTTTGCCACCCAGATCTGTTCCCATTCGTCCCAATTTCCTCATCTCAGTAAATGATACCATTACACACCAGTTGCTCATATAAAAAAACTGAGAGTCATTCTCGAGTCTTTGCTTTCCCTCGTCCTTGACATAAAATCCCAAACCAACTCTTGTCCAAAAAACTTCTTAAATCCCTCTCCACTGACACCAGCTTAATCCAGGTCTCTACCATCTCTCACCTGAACTCTGCAGACATTTTTCTTACATGTCTCTCTACTTTCTCTTTCTTTCTCCACATACCAGCTAAGATCATCTTAAAATGTAAATCAGATCATGTCTTTTCCCTTCCTAAAAATCAATGGCTTTCTAGTGCACTTAGAACTATAGCCATCTTTTGACCATGACCTAGCAGGCCCTGAATGAGCTAGCCAGCTCCTGCACACCCCTCTAGTCTCATCCTTTATTAACAGTTACTTCTATGGCCCAGCTATGACATGCTTTTCCAGAAGTAGAAAAGACCAACGACTTTCCCATCTTAGGTACTTGACATTATGTCTCTTCAGTAAAATGATTCATTCCAGTTTTGTTCTCTTTTCAGCCCTGTCACCTTTGTAATTCTATGCAACTGTTTCTTTACTCATTACTATTTCCCCCATCAGATGAAAAGCTTGTTGAAGACAGAACCATGTTTGCCCTGTTCATTTACTGCCTCCAGGATGCCTGGCACACAGTAAATAAGAAGGCAATAAATATCCTGTCATTGAATGCATCAAAAAATGTTAGGACCAAAAGAGATGTAATAGCTTTCTAGGTAAGATCCCTCTTTTTGATAATAAAGATATGTGGGCCCAAGGTAGGTAAGTCAATGTTATGGTTATGTCAATGTCATGATTACCTGCTGAGTACAGAATAAATGCATCCCCTGGTTGTACCCTTTATTGAAACTTTAGCCCTGGTCTTTCAAACTTTTGGTGTATCTACTTTCTCACCTTTCTAATTTATGATCCTTTCTTTAAAAGTTTGTTTGCCTTTATCTGTGCTACTTTTTCAGTATTAAAATATAATTATGCTCACTCAGTACAAGTAAATTTTCTATGTTACCAGTACAATAAAAAGTGACTTGGATATAGGTTTTCAGTTCCTTTTTGCATAATTAGCTTTTCCCAAAATGACTGACTAGCTAAGAGAACTTTCTAACTACTCTGCAAAAATATCTAGGATTGCTTTTAAGCTTTGAAACAACAGAGGGAGAGATGTAGAGTATAAACAATGTAGCTTTAGAGAAAGCAAAAGATGAGATCAGCACAAAGGTAGATCACAACTGAGATCTATCTGGGAAGTGCTTTGACAAAGGTTCCCAGTCCTGGGACTGTTAACAGGACTAGAATCTAATCAAAGCCATGAGGGTGGGGGCAGGGAAGGAGTCCGAATTCTGTCTCCCAATTTCACCCGCAGTGGTGAGTGATAATTAACCATGGTCTGGAATAAGTTTTTCCATCTAAAAAACCAAACTGCCTGAGGAGTGAAAACTGACACTAGTCCTTCTCCAAAGCGGGTGTAAATCTCTCGAAAAAAAATTCTCCTTTATCTCTCTGCTCTATTTTAAGAGCAAGATTTTTAGGGCATAATTTTCAACAAGTTTTGGCTGTGGCTGAACACGGACTCAAAAGATAATTTAGGACACCCAAGGAAGAATCCAATTACTTCCTAACATACAATGACCTAAACACACGATGGTCACTTAATTGGGTAATAAACAAAATGACTACTAGAAATTCTGTTCCCAAAGCAGCGCTGCATGAACCCAAGTGGTAGGCAGACCTATCAGGGAAGCTACGGTAATCTGTGCGTCCTTTCCCTTTGCGGTACATCCCACCTGGAACGTCTCTGCTGCCCTCCTTTCTCCTGGGCCCAACCTCAGGACTTTCTGGCACCTCGTGGAAGACCAAGAGGAGTACGGGGCGAAATCGATAGGACGGACAACCTTCCCCCCACTTCCCACGCCCCACCTCAGGGTGCCAGGAGATCAGGAAGGCGCGAGCTCAGGGCGGACGCCCGCAGAGGGCGCGTAGCCCAGGAGGACCGATGCAGCGCGTGGCGCCGACTGCATCTTGACCCTCGACTCGGTCGCCGTCACCTCGTTTCGCGCCCTGCCCGGACCCGCTCACCTCCGCGCCCTCCGCTCCGGGCAGGGGCGAGCCTAGCAGCTCTCCGCGAGAGGAGCCGACTGCCCCGGGGCCCGCGCGGGCTCCAGGGCCTAGGGGCCGCGCCTCCGAGCGGCGGCTGCAAGACTGCTGCGGCGGCGGTCGCGCTCCGGCTGCCTCCCCGCCTCCCCCAAGCTGGTTCGCGTAGGGCCGGAGACGCGGGAGGAGGCGCGCGGAGGCCGGCCTCGCAGTGACGCGCCGCCAGGGGCTGCTCGCGGGGAGGGCGCCGGGCGCGGGTGGGGAGGGCGCCGGGCGGGGGCGGGGAGGGCCCGGGACGCGGACCGGAGGGCCGGCCGGGCTAGCACGAAGAGCCGGGCAGCGCAGGGAGGTGCCGGAGAGTCCGGAGGAGCCGCGGGTGGCCGTGGTGGGGAGCTGGGGAGCACGAAGCGCGCCGAGGGGCCAGCCGCGGAACGAGCCGCGTATCCGCCCCTCGCCTGTGCCCTCGCTGCCAGGCTCCGCAGAGATTCCTTTAGACGCAACTCGAGAAAAATCAAGCCCACTGTCCTTCTCCACTACTTTTGTGCCTTCTGGTCGATTTTCAACTCCAGACTTAGTTGTTTTTTTTTTTAACTACCCCTTCTCTCGCCCCCGTTCCCCACTCAGTTACTGAGACGTCTCCAAGAAAAACTGCGCTTTCTCCTGTATGTGTTCTTTCCTCACCTCTGCCCACCCAGATCTTCATTTGGCTGGAGTGCGTCCTTGTAATAAAATGTTCAGAAAGGCCCTTTTATGAACACCTTTAAAAACTCTGGTATGTTAGAACCCTCACAGCCGGCGGACTGCAGAATAGTTGACTTGGATCGTCACGCTAGCTGGAGACGCACCCGAGTTTTGGTGTTGTGGGTAAGGGGCTTAGGCCGCGCTTCAGAATGGTGCTGCGGGGAGAGCCGCTTAGCTCTTTGGGCCGCGATGGCCTTGAGTGTTAGGGGATCTCTGAGTTGTAAGGGTGCCTTTGGCTTTGGGATTCTGTAAATCTTCTTCCTGCAGATTACCAAATCGTCAGATATCCTTTACCTGTTGTGTAGAAGCTGTCTGTAGAAGATACCTTTATTTTGAGTTATAAAATGAAATTAAAACTCTCACATTTGGGGAAATTAAAAAAAAATACCTTAGTAAATCCCCATTTCAGCAAATTAAGTTTAAAAATTATCTCTCCTAGTGGTTTATTAACCAGGAAAAATAAACTGAGAAAGGGGGTCTTGATCGCTGGACACTGCACTTTCCCCTCTGCAGTCCATACACAGATTAACCTTTGCAAACGCTGCTTTGGAAATACATTCTTTGTTTGACGTGACACGTGCCCCCTCCCCCACTGACAAATATTAAGGTTTGAAGTTTAGGCATAAGCTAAGCTATTAGTGATGTATCTTAGTTGACAGCTGGTAAACTTTTTTTCCATTTTGGTAACTGGAAAAAAATTAAATTTCATATCGATTTTTATTATTTTGCCTCAACACTACTTTCACATAATGAAGGTTGCCTTTTTTTTTTTTTTTTTTGCACTTCTGGAAGACAAGTGGAGGAAATTCATGACTCTTAGTAGTTAATGAAAGGTATGCAGATTTCACTTTTTTTTAAACAATAGCACTATATAATTTTTACAATAGATTATTAAAAAATATAGCATTTTCTAACTACCCTGAAGTTATAAATTATCAAACCATGTAGGCAAATCACATATTTTTAAGCATTTTTAAAAGATGTCCTGACATATCCAAAACAAAAAAATCGTTGTATGTGAAATCACTTACCCTAAAAGAGAATAAATGAGTCAATAGCTTGCAATTTCCAGGAGGAATATTGGCTTTTCATACTTAAACTATTAAAATTGGCAAATATCCTTGATGGAAAATCTGGTTACCAAATATTTTTCAAAAAATTGTTGCTGCCAAGCATGATTCCTTTCAGCTTATTCCATGGTATCTGTTATTTTTACTACTGGGTTTCAGTTGTAGTTTCAGAGTATAAAAATGATTTTGCAAGATTTTTCCAGGTCACAACATGCTCTCTGAGAAATCTCTTCAGTTCCCTGAAGTAGTAATTGATTCCACTGAAGCTGAGCCAAAATTTATTAAATGGATCTCTAGTAGCCTGGGGGTGTTAATACAATTTTTACTTTGAAGTTATTATAGAATTGAATAACTTTAGAGTAGTATTTTCCCAAGTGTGTAACTTCAAGACCTAGTCCCTCAAGATGCTCCTCCAGTAATTTGTTCACTACAAAATTACTTATTGAGCTCCTGCTGTATGCCCTGACTGCAGCTCTAGGAAAAATGGTGGAGAACATAGATATAGTTACCTGTCCTGTTAGAATTTATAGTTTGGTGGGGGATATAAATTTGTGAACAAGTGCAAATAAGATTTACACAAATTTGTTTACACAAGTGAAATAAGTGTAAATCATGATGAAAAAAATAGACTTTGAGATAATAATATGAAGAACCTCTTCATTTTAGAGATTCACAATGCATATTAATGGATTAAAGGCTCAGAATTTCTACTGTAAAGACATTTACTTAGTCTATTTCAACAGATACCCAAATTTGATTTTAGCACTGAAATTTGTAAGCAAGCAATGCTTAGTACTAAAATAGAACCATTTTTGTGAAACATTGCTTTATTTGAAACCAAAGAACTGAGTAAACATAAAATTCTGTTAACAACGTTACCTTACACTTCTTTGTCAGTGCACATTTATGTGTTTTAATAGTTTTATAGACATACATATAATGTGTTTGAATAGCCTCTGAAGACAAAATGATATAGAAATATAAGTACATTCATATATAAGAATAAATATATTTTTATATATTTTTGTCTGAAGACAAAATGACATAGAAACATTAAAAAATCTATAAAAGTGTATGAATGTACATCTGCATTAAACAGATACTTTGTGGTTAACATTATTTCATGATGTTACATTATTATTACTTATACAATATATTACAATATTATTGACTATATTCCCCATGCTATACTTTTCATTCCCATGACTAATTTAGTCTATAATTGGAGGTTCATACCTCAATCTCCTTCACCTATTTGGTTCATCCTCTCACCTCTTCCCTTACAGCAACCTCCAGTCTGTTCTCTGTGTTTTAGTCTATTTCTGTTTTGTTTGTTCTTTTGTTTTTTAAATTTCACATGTAAGTGAAATCATATGGTATTTGTTGTTCTCTGTCTTATGTGTTTCATAGATGCTTACAATTCTTAATCACTATATAGTCTGCAATATTGGTGTAGAATCATTTTCTCAACTTTAAGCTTTAGGAAAATAGGTTTTCTGATTCTTTTACTAGTATAACGAGCACTGCTTTAACCTCTTTGAACAGTTTACTTTTGGAGGCAGTAAGTGGAGGGAATATTTTGATATCAGTTCTTTATTAACCACTTAAAAATGATAATCTTAAAAATCTTAGTATGCTTAAAAAATCATAAAAACATTATTTCATGATTTCATGTCATTTCATCATCTTTTTGATGCTTGGTTTAAGATGTAGTTTCCAGGATTTAATTGAGTTATCTCCAACATTACAAATCCTGTTGCTAATACCCAATGAAAGAAAACAGCTTATAGAAACAAAATCCAACTGCTATTTCTAAAAATATAAATATTTGACCTTTATGACTGTAAAATGATCATAGAAAATTAGGAATGGGAGAGATATTAACAAGTATATTTTAGTGTTTTATTATTTTTGAAATTATAGTTAGCCTAATTTATTTTAAAACATTTTAGTAAAGTTGAAATGTCATTTAAAATGTGGAATTTTATGACTAAATGCAGCTATCTCTAAAAAAGAGATTGCTATTTATTTTTATACAAATATGGTAAGAACTGATCACAGTATTTGTAAATAACAAAGTGTTTTATGATACTTAATTTGATACAATACCCCAATATAAATTTTATTTAGGTCAAAGTGTTAACATTTAAAAGTTACATGATAAAGTTAGAAAATGCAGAAATAAATATTAGTCATATTTCTACAGGGGAAAGGACTGTTTAAGTTTGGATAGAACCAAAGTTCCCAAAGATCCCTTTATCTCAAAGGATTATAATTTCAACTAAATAAAATTTAAAGTTCTATGTCTTTTAAGAAAACATAAATTGAGAGGAAATCTTTGCTATAAATGAAAAGATTAATGCCAAATATTTAAAATAGCTCACACAAATTCAGAAAAGAAGCAAAAGCTTGGGGCTCTAATAAATGGGCAGAATAATTGAATGAACATTTTAATAAGGAAGAAATAAAATTGTTTAATAAGCAGAGATACTGGGAAAGATACCATCTACAGGCTTTCTGTAATCTCTTTTTCTTTTCCTGTTTATTAATTTTGAGCAATCAAGTAGGTACCTTTCTAAGCAAATCATTTAAAGGACCTTTGTAAAATTTGCCGTGCATCTTTTTTAAAGCAAAAGTGATAGGCAAGCATTGGCTTAAAAATGCCAAGCATTATTTCTTTTTTATTTTTATTATGCAATTATGTAACAAAGGAATTCCTAGACTTTTCAGTACTCAGTGTATATGCTGGACCTTATTATCTTTATTCCCAGGTTATTTTATTGAGGTAAATTTTCATTATTTTGTGAGCACCATTAATGTTTTGAGGTCTTATTTTCCAGGATTATGTTTAGTTAAGAGAGTCCATGTTTTATTTTTAAAACAATAACTAATAACTAGTATTTTTTGTGTCTTTTCAAACTATTTATTCTACAAGTATTTATTGAGAGTTCTTTGTGTGCCACTCTATAAGGGGCGAGGGACACAACAACAAACAAACAGATGCCTGCCTTTATGAGGCATGTGTTCTACCTGAGACTGTCAACCGTGCATATGTGTGTGTGTACATGTGTGTGTGTATGTGAGTGTGTGTGTGTGTGTGTGTGAGAGAGAGAGAGAGAGAGAGAGATAATGTACTGCCCAAAGACAACTGACCGAGGAGTTGGTCAGGGAGGGGACCCTCAGGTGGTAGAGTGAGTAAAATTCATCCTACACTCTGTTCCCAACCCCAGGCCTTTTTCTTTTGAGAAAGGTAGATTCTTCATATATTCTTAAGACAGAGCCAACAGGATTTGATGGTGATTGGATGCGGGGGTCTGAAAAAAAAAGTGGTGCAGGATTAGGCCTGACCAATGGGTGCAG